CTGTCTGTCTGTCTGTCTGTCACGTCCGTGTAATCCACAGCTAATATTCGTGTAACGTAACGTTTGTGTGGTGTTTCCTCAGGAGCCAATGGAGCAGTGTCCCTACGACCCCGACCACATGGTCCCGGTCAGGAGCATGGAGAAACATAAAACGTCCTGCAGCCTCCGACAGATGGGCTACACGGCTGAGGAGCAGGTAACGTACACACGGCTCTAGTCTAATGGAGAGTAATGTAGCAGTGTTTAATGTTCCAGAGTAGTTTCACAATCTCCATCTGTGCCTGGAATACCAGCGAGAATAGAAAGTTGAATCACTGTTTTGCAGGCGGAGATGTTCGACCCTTCCGTGTGTTATGAGAACAGCAGCGTCAGGAGCTTTACAATGGGTGAGTCCTTATTGATAACCGTTATCTTACATCCCAGTTCAGCCACTAAATGGCTCAATAAATGTCCCCTTTTCCTTTGAGTGATTTGAAAAGAAGGTCTTGAAGACAATAAGAACATTATATTGTGTTGGTTTATAGAGATCTTTCAAGATAATTCATGCTTTTCCCTATAAAAACATAAAACATGTATAAAAAATACAACCACTGTCATTAAATATTGGCTCAAAGCTCAAGATATTCTGGAAAATATAAATCTTTGATTCATTTTTTTGGTAATTCAATGTGTTTTAAAGTGGAAGATAAGTAAACCTTAAAAACAAATATACTTTATCGTTGTTAATTGTCAAGTTTATTTTTTTCATTGTTTTTATTTTTAAGAAAAGAAGCAACTTCTGTAAATATTCTTGTAAAAATAAAAGTTATGTGTCGGGGTGTCTCACATGTTCCCGTCTTTGAGTTCTATAAGATATTTGATGTAAGAATTGTTTAAAACACTCTTGACGAACGTTAGTATGATCAATAAGGGGGGGTGAAGTCATACTTTCCAGCACATCTGCATCTGAGTTTGTTAAATGTGTGAATATCTCCTTTTTGAAGTTTTTATTTAAATAAAATAAACCACCAACCTCAGCCGTGCACCTGTATCCTGGAGAGTTCTTCTCAATCTTTATTACGGGATGAAACACTTCCTGACAGGAAACTGATGTGAAATTGTGTGTATTTAACAATAGAAGTTTTTCGTGCGACCAACCTTGACTTGAAAACACACTTCCTACATTTCTGTCACGTGTTCAGTTGTCATCTTCTCCTCTCCTCCACGCAGACAAACCCACCCAGCACCAGGTGATCCTGCAGGCCAGATCTGCTGCACCGCTGATGAGGATGGAAGGAGTCTTCTGGCAAGGTGTGAGCTTAATTAAAATGTACCTCCCTGACCAGAGACGAGACCGCTTCTCATTAGAAACAAAGACACACAGTTAGATTTCACACTCCAGATGCAATGACAGACCACTAGAGGTCACTGGAGGATTATCTTTTGCTCACCTCACTAACAATCAGCTCAACCTACATCTGCTTCGGTTCCCCCACAAATACTAATCCCAGTAAATACCAGTCACATTTATTCAGTTATCTTTATATTAGTCATGTTTCTGCTGATCTTCCTGCTGACGTGTGTAATCGGTGTGTTGTGTGTTCTGTTTGCAGCGACAGGGGTGAGTATTAGGAGCTGGGCTCTAGAAAGTTCTGCTGCTCTGGTTCAGGCTTGCCTGATTACGTGCAGTATCCTTTAACATCATATCCTTTCAAACCACAGGGCTGGGCTGGGACACACACACACACAGTACTTACACTAAGGCTGAACTCGACTCAGAATGTTGTCAGTAAAATCTGATTCGACCAAATGCTCAGGGTCTTCTCGACTGATGACTCGGGGGCAGCCCTAACTTACACACACACTTTTTTCCCTTTACGTGTTGGGGAAACTTCATACATTTGTCACTGATGTGGATAAAAGTACTTTGTTTATGTGGAACTTTTTTTAAATAGTTTCAGAGATACTGAGTGTAGATTATATAAATGTCACATCCTCTTTCTGTGAAGTCCTCTGAATAATTCCAGTTAAAGTTTGATTTCACTCATTAGATCCGTATTGATCAGGAGTAGATACAGAACAGATAAAAGGCACAGCTCAGTTACAAAAGGAGCTTAGAAACTCAATCATTTCTACATCTAAATGAAACTATCAAGGGTACACTTAACTGTTTGCCTGTTTAACGATAACTGTACTATGTTCCCTTTTCCCTTTGTGTGTTCAAATGGTAATATAATCCAATGGAGCCATTTTCACCCAAAATATAATCTCAGAATCCAATTTTGAGAGATGTTTTGTGCTGTGTAAGGAGTAAAAATACACTTTGTCTGCGTTTCAATAACAGCTGCACTGTCCACATGTCGTGACGTGCAATCATGTGTCTGGTTGGTTTGTGTGTAAAGCCTCTCTGGTCCTCCGTCAGGTCAGTACTCGGGCCAGCCTGTCGACGTCCCTCAGACCCACAAGCGCGCATTGTGTGACCTCACTGTGGCCGACCGATTGGCTCTGTACGATCACGTGGTCCGTGTCCTCGGCAAACAGAACGAGGCCGCCTCCTCCAGCAATGATGACCTTTACGTAGATTTGGTGTCCAAACTCCAGAAGGGTAAGACATTATGGGGAAAACCTCTTAGAGCCTCCCGAACTACTGTAAAATACTGGCTGTTAGATCACCTGTACATTAAAAACAGGATATTTGGGTTGTAGACAAATCTTCCATAGTAGCTGTTTCACTCACTAATAATAATGTCAAATAGTTTCTGCTGCCCTTATTTTGGTTAATAAAGAAAAATGAGTTTCTCCCTCAGCGTGGTCCTTCGGTAAAATCTGTGTGTGTGTGTGTGTGTAGATGACGAACAGAATGAACCAAAGACTCATCTGGAGCTGATGGCAGAGATGAGGGACTACAAGAGGCGCCGTCAGTCCTATCGAGCCAAGAACGTTCACATCACCAAGAAGTCCTACACCGAGGTACGAGAACAACGGGGGCAATGTTGAGCGGGTTTTTTACCCATAATCCCCTTGTTGTTATTGTTTGAACGTTTATTAATTGGCATAAACAAACCAAATAATTAAAGCTATAAAACTGAAACTGTAGCGTTTTGGTCTCTGCAGGTGATCAGAGAGGTGATCAACGTCCACTCACAGGAGCTCAGCAGACAGTGGAGAGAGGAAGAGGACGAGGAGGAGTCGACGAGAGCTGAACTCTCCTCTCACAGGTACAACAAACACCGTGACCTCTGACCTGATGATCGGTTCCCTGTAATGTTGTTGATTTAAAGAAATAAAATTAATTTTGAAGAGCGCTGGGCTGAAGGGCCAACGACTGATTCTGTTTGTGTGTCAGGCGTCGGTTGGATGAAGGGCGCTCGGCGTCGTCAGAGTCTCGACACAGCCGACGCCATCGCAGCCGGGAACGAAGTCAAGACAGAGAGAGCAAGAAGAAGAGGAAGAAGAAGGAGAGGTGAAAAAAACCAAATATAACTTCTTATAGTTCTTTTTGCTTTATTACTCAACGTTTGATGTCGGCGATACAGATTTTGTTTTGTAAGTTTTGCTGTAAAAAATGTTTCCCAACTGATGTTTGTCTTCTTACGAAACGGCTACAGAAAGAATCCGATGGAAACGGTCGTCGGTCACATGCGGATCAATAAAACAGGCTCTTGTTTCTGTGCTCTCACTGTTTCCTTTATGGATCTTCGCAGGGATTCCCGTTCTCCTGATGACCACCATCACGACCGAAAGAAGAAGAAAAAGAAGAAGAAAGACGAGAGGGAGAAGGAGAAGTGATAGTGCTGGATCAACAACAACAGAAGTCAGATCAGATGAGGTCATAGGTCACTGTGGCCTTTACAGGTCAAAATGTTTTCGGATGTCATAACATTTTAAAATTGAAACGTGGAGATTTTGGAGACACATTTTTCGAATAAAGTTTTGGAAACCAGCAACATCAACATTTTGAACTTTTTGTGCTTCACGAACAACAGTTTAAGATATGAAACAATTTCCATCATCTTTTAATTAGAGCCACAACAATTAGTCAATTAAGCAATTTAGTTGTCCACAATTAAAATAATCAACAATTATTTTGATAATCGCTTTTGATCAAATGTCCACATTCTCTGATTTCAGCTTCACAAATGTGAATATTTCTGTTGTCTTTAGTCCTCTATGACAGCAAACTGAATATGATTTGTGCTGTGGACAAATCAAGACATTTGAGGACGTCACTGTCGGCTTTGATCAACATTTTCTGACATTTTATGAACCAAACGACTAATCAGTGAATCAAAAAAATTGATGGACAGATTAATGAATAATGAAAATAATTGTTAGTTTCAGAATGATC